CATTTAAACTTTAACCTTCGCCATAAGCTGCCATACGGGGACATCAGTATTTCACAAACACACCTTGTTAATTTATTTTTTTTTATTTGTGCATTTATTTTTGCTTGTCAAGCTTTTTTTGGAACCCTCCCCCCCTCCCCTCCTGAAAAACGTCATGAACCTCCCTGTGTTGAATGGCTATTTTTGAAAATATGATATCATTGCAATGAATTCTTAATAACTCGTGCACTGATCACAGTAGCCTGGTGTCTATTTGCGATAGCTTCTTACGTCATGGGGAGCTCAGAGTTCGATTGTCCAAACTTCCTAGTGCCGTGCCAAACCTAGATGTTTAACATACATGTAGGTAGAGACCATTCCTTCGGCATTGAAAATGGTTTTTCGGCTGAGACTTTAAAAAGCCGAAACCCATCTAGATCCCCGCATGCAGTGATAAGCGGGAAATAATTCATGTTATATCGTCGAATAAAATGAAATTAAGAAAATGAAATAAAACTGAAAAAAAAAAAAAAGTTAGAATTAAAATAAGAAATAAAAAATAATTTGTTTGAAATAAATTTGTAAAAAATAAGAAAATAAGAAATAAGGGGAAAAAAAACTAAAAAAATCATTTTAAAAAATTGTGCCACTGTTATCTCTCCATAGTTTATTATTATCAAAATTCGATAAACTTGTAGACTTTACGTTTATAGAATTGCGCGGCTATATACATGTATAAAGATACTGGAAAACAGAGAACTCATTTTTAACGTCCAACACATTCAAGTTAATATCTTGTTTTCTATAAGTAGACGTAATATACAAGTATGATACCAAGCGGCTCAAAATAAGAGTAAATTTTCAAGTACCCATGCCGAAGAAACAAAGTTTACAACATCAAAACAAGTAACATGGTAAGATGTCAGATTTAAGTACATTGTACTTACATCTCGCTCCGACAATTTCTCATTTTAAGGACACGAAAAACACCCGACCAGAAGTGAGATCTACAAAGATTTTTGAAGTTACTCTAGACATTTTCAGTCTTAATAACATAATAAAAACTCATTTCAAATACTTCATCTTTTATTAGCGATATTTATGGCAAAGTTCAGTACTCAAGTTATATTTTTTTCTCTTTAAAAACTGATATAAATTAAGCTCTTTCTCCCCCGTTCTCTCTCTCTCTCTCTCTCTCTCTCTCTCTCTCTCTCTCTCTCTCTCCACTCTGTCCCACAATCTCTCTCTCTCTCTCAGTGGGGCCCTCTCTGAGTGGGGAGGGAGAGTAGAGAAAGTGAGTGGGGATGAGAAAAGGAGAGTGGAGGAGAGCATGGGAGAGATTCTCTCTCCCCTCCCACTCTTCTCTCAATCACCTCTCTCTCTCTCTCCCACTCTCTCTCTCCCACTCTCTCTCCCCACTCTTTCTCTCTCTTTATTTCTTTTCCGTCTAACTTAGCTAACCTTCTCATTGTGAAATAAACTATATAAATGCGTAATACATACATGTTTCATAGTTTATTTATCATAAAAAATAATGGAAAAATACTTATTCTACTACAAAGAGAAAATTCTTATTGCTATTTTAAAAGAAATTATTTTAAAAAAAAATTATTTTTGATCTTTTTATTTGAAAATGGATTTAGCAAAATTGTTTATTTATATAACCCCCTAACAAATTTAAAGAGTAGGTTATAACCCGTAACCCCATCCACACAAAACTTGCTACTATAGATACGCTCACACGAAACTCGCATGGTACTTCTAACATAATGTGTTACAATATTTTTTTTTGTACAGTTCTATATTTTTTTTGCCCAAGCAATTTCAAATGTGCTAATATTGCCAATCATACTTAGGAAAAAATTATGTAAATATGTAAATTAGAATTAGAGGCTTTTTTGTATAATGCAACATTCGTTTTTTTTTTTTCTATTGATAAAATTTTTTACATGTAACCAGGAAGGTAAAAGACGATACTACCATGTACAAACTTGAGTCAATTCTTGGTACAGTGATACAAAACACCTCTCTTTTTTTTAATTAATCAAATATTTTGATCTAAAAAGCCTCATTTTGTATAGGCTTATGAAATGCTTATGGAATGCTGACTTTAAAAGAGATTGTTGAATGAATGAATAAAACTTAATTTTTTGGTTTTTTGTTTTTCTTCCAAAAAGTAAATTTTTGTAGCAAATAGTTTTCCTCACCACAAGATGCAGACTTAATTCTAAATATAAGAAATTTACTCCATATTACAGTCCTTTACCTTGATGTTCTATATAACTGAGAAGAGCATCTTACAACATGGTTTCCATCTCAATTATGTCTAAGTTTTCCTTTACTCTGAGTTACAAAAACGCTTTGCACTTCTCATTATAGACACTTAGCTCTAGTATATGAATCTCGAGAAAAGTTCATGTTGTTTTAAGTAACAGAAGTACATAAATAAATCAGACTCACATATTTCCATTCATATCTCTGAAACCAGCTTAGATACAGCAACGATATACTTTTAAATAACAAGAGGCCAATGGGCCACATCGCTCACCTGAGTACATTGGCCTAGAAAAGGCAGAAATCAGTTCAGTGTTGAAAAGTTTACGGGGGGGGGGGGGGGGAGGGGGAGCAAACTTGAATTAACTCTACCTGAGGATGCTTCCATATCAACATAACTAATCATGGCTTTCCTGTTCTTGAAGATTTTTTTCCCTATGTATTCCTATGTAAACTCTAACTGCCCATTGTGGCCCCACCCTACCCCGAGGGTTAAGACTTGAACAAACTTGAATCTACACTACCTGGGGATGTTTCCATATCAAAATGATTAATAATGTCTTTGATGTTCTTGAGAAGATGTTCAATTTTTTTTTCTATATATTCCTATGCAAAACTTTGATCCCTCATTGTTACCCCACCCTAACCGCAGGTGTTATGCTTTGAATAAACTTAAATCTACACTACTTGAGGATGCTTCCGTATTAATATGACTAAACATGGCCTTGCTGTTCTTGAGAAGATGGTTTTCCTGTTTTTGAAAGGAAGATTTTTAAAGACATTTTCTATATATTTTAATGTAAAATTTTGACCCGCTGTTGTGGCCCCGCCCTAACATAATTTGAATAATTTAGGAATAACAGTATGTAATGAAGTTTTCACTTATGTTTCATCTTTTATGGCCCAGTGATTCTTGTGAAGAAGATTTTTAAATGACCCCATCAATTTTCACTTTTTCTTAATTATCTCCCCCTTGGAAGAGGGTGTTGCACTTCAATTGAACAACTTGAATCCTCTTTACCCAAGGATACTCTTTGCCAAGTTTACTTAAAATTGGTCCAGTGGTTCTGGAGAAGATGAAAATGTAAAAAGTTAACGACGACATCAACAGACAACGGACAAATTTTGATCAGAAAAGCTCACTTGAACCATCGGCTCAAGAATGGAACATTAATTTCGTCTTACTACTTAGTCTGCAAAATGTGCTGGTGTTACAATTATTTAGTATTTCTTCCTGTATGTTTCTTACGAGGATTTTCAAGGTTTTCTACATACACATAGCCTTGATAAGTCCTTGCAAACAAGATCTATATATCTTCTTTGCATTTACCAACTCATCACCTTTACATGTACCCTTCATTGTTACACGTTTCGGGGAAAAATACTGTGTGCACGTGGGTATTCTTGATACACTAATGGCATTTTTTTCACGGAAATTTACTACTCTAGAAATCTTGTTTGTCTCCTTAGTATGACACTTAGATTACCCACTTGAAAAGAATTTATTTAAGTTTCTATAAAGGCCCTTTCACAATTGGCGCACGAGCACTTTACAACACTTTGCTATCGGAATTTTTTAGCATCGCACGAGCTCTAGCATATGTTGCACGATGTCTTGCATTCGTTGCATGCGTTTTAGTGGTCGCATCAAGTCTCTTCAAAATAGTGGACATGCACACTATTCAGACGCGACCAAATGCGATCCAAATTATCACAATGTAACGCACGAACATTAATACGAACGCCTTACAACGTTTTGTGTACTCGTAAGAGTGATGTACGATTTTTAAAGGTCGTAAGATGAATCACAGCAGTGTTTTGCGACCGTGAGACTGTTGATCAACGTGTCTCATGTAATCTTGCAACGCTTTACTATCATTGCACGATTTATCAGCTTCAATTTGCCATGCAAATATTATATATATACACCATATATATTATATTTATATACCAATACGATATCAAACCGCCGAAACACTTTGCTGTCATAATAATACAGTCAATAATTAACTACGCACATTCTAAACGATAAAAATATTGGAAGAAATAAGAAAAATCACAGCACTGTGTCGGGTTCTCTAAATTTAGAATTGCGTGGCTGATGGATGTTGCCTAAATGCACTCGAACGTGCATTGGTACCAATGGAATGCATGATTGCACGAGCGCCGCACGTCCAATCGCATTGGCGCACATTCAATCGTCCGATCACCTGATCACTCGCGCGATCTTATCGCATTATCTTACAACACTCGCTTTCGTTGTATATCAGTCGCATATAGACGCAAGATATTTCGCAAGATTTAATGCGTTTGTATCGCATAAAGATTTAATGCGTTTGTATCGCATAAAAGTCGCTTTAGATCTTGCGAATTTCGTACGAACACTTTTTCATATGCGATTGTTTCGGCAACAGTTTACGATCCAAATCAAATTTTTTTGGTCGCACGAATATTTTGTCGCGTCTACTCGTGCGCCAATTGTGAAGGGCCTTAAGGAGGTGGGTGCTTTTAATTGTCATACTTATATCTGAATTTCCCTCCTTTATATAGAATTATATGTTCTTCGCGTGAACAAAGTCTAGAACAATTCTATCATGGGTTAAAGTGTACAATAAACTTATATCTACGAAATACTTGTAAAACCTATCGTGTACATGTACGCCGCTGTATTGGTTTTGGATTATTGTTTCATAATATAATATACAGCTGACAGTAACGGATAAAAAAATCAACACCATGGATAAAATGTATCAAATATTTTACCTGAATTATATTATAAGTACACTTGTGAATGGTCAAATAATATATGAGTTACCATTGCAAAATCGGAATATATTTGATCCTACCATCAACAAACAAATAAATCGAGCAACGGAATTCATGGTGGAAGGTTTTTCCAACTTTGAAACAGAAATCAACAAGAGGATCGATGACATACGGATTGATATGCAGCATCAAGATTTGGAACTCTATGAAGAAATCAAAAAATTAAAGCAAATGCTGACGCAGCAAGGATTTGCCCAGGACGCTCAATCACAAAATGGCGACATCCTATTTCCAGAAAGTGGCGAGTTGTCATCGAGATTGAAGTCTTTAGAGGCAGGAATGAAAAGAGATTCCAAAGACAGTAAAAGCCAAGTTAGAGCACTAAGGCAAAAAATTAAAATTCTAGAAAATGAAAATAAAATATTGTCATCACGTGTTGATGCAACGCAAGTAACTTTAATGTTAATGTCAGAAAGAACATCCCTAAAGATGAATGAGTCTAATGGTCTTAATAATTTGAACCTTGTTCAAAAGATTAGCAACATGGAAGAGAGGCTGAGTTATCTAAACGACTCTATTCAGGAAAAAAGAAACTCAAGTGTTGAGGCTGATGAGTTTACAACATTAAAAAATGAACTTCAAACTGTTAGATTGAATCTGTCCGAAGTGAAAAATGATTTGAACCAATCGAAGACTTTCAGTGAATTGCAAGGTCGACAGATTTTAGAGGCTCGAGAGTCCCAAACTCTTTTTTACGATACCTTAAATATCCTTGAAAACAATATCTCCACGATTTGGATGTATACAAGTAATCTAAGACGAGATTTTCAGGAACTAGGCGATTTAAAAGATATTAAAGGCAATCTTTCCATCATTGAAGGTACTACGTCTGTAATTGAAGCAAAAATTCAAATGTTACAAGATAACTTATCCACTCTGACAGTTGTGTCGAATAATCTTTCTTTTGAACTTAACTCAACTGAAGAAAAAATAGAAGATGTCTTAAAATTATCTGAAACTAATAACAATTCACAATTAATTCTGGAAAGAATCCTCAAAGAAGAAATTGACACTATACAAAAAAATGTATCCTCTATAGCTATTTCTGTTCAGTTGGAATCAAATGAAAGAAAAAATCTTCTGAATGTTAACGAGCAACGTTATTTGAACATTACCAGTGATATGGAGAGTATTCAAACCAAGATGAATTCTACAGGTACTGATTTAATAATTTTCTAATATAGACATAATTTAACGAAACATATTCTTGATTGAGATGCAGGGAATGATACATTTGAGTTACTTTTCAAATAAATCAGATCGTCTCACAATTCTTCCGAACTGAAACACAAACTTCAAAGATTGATTCTTAGTGCCTTTCAAAAAGTTTGAACATTGATTTAGACGTAACATAATAAAACATACGAGGGTTGTTCCAATAAGTTGTAAACAGGGTAAACAATTTAGTTTCTCTTCGCAAACAAAACTTTATTATCTTATCATAGTAAAAAACAACATTTAATGATGATAAATTTCAAGTTTCATCATAATATTAAACTAAGTAAGAAAGTGCATGTAATATAAAAAATAAAGCAATTATACGCCGGCGCACGAAAACAAACGTAATTTACGTCTCTTAACATTTTTGTAAAATAGTAGCCCTTGAGCGCAACACTTCTCTTGGGATTTCTTTGTTTTCATATACACTGACATAGGCTCTTGATAAGTGGACGTATTAAAACTATACTTTCAGTCCCACAAGATCGCTTTACATTGTAAGAGCAGAAAATACACAAAGTTTAATGTCGGTCGTGACCCATAACGTTCCTTGCCGTCTAAATAGGTCTACTTTTAAGGCCCTCCTGTTTTCGGCGCTGAGGTGAAACTGTCATTAAAACTCTTATATCATTCATAAACCACTTTTCTGCAAATGTTCTAGTTTGTTATATCATTTCGGTATATTTTTTCGTCTCTAAAGGGTTCAAATCTTTGTGCGCCAAGAAGGCGTTTGATGACTTCATTGATAGTTTTGAAAATTATGTCACTTCTCCTTTGTCTCTGAAGCCATTTACTTGAAAATCTGACATGTTAAGCAGATTTGTTTTCTAATTTAGCTGATATCAATTTCTTTTTGATTTTTATCAATTATTAGAGAAGCAAATGCAATTGTAAAAAATAACATACACAAATTATTCCAGATTTTCTTCGTGCGTCGACGAACTATATCGGCCTTATGATAAATCGTTTTAATATTATAACCATTAGATATATTCATTTAGGAACTCTCTATTCTAATGGACAATCGTAAATTATAGACATACAAATTTGGTTAGTATCGAATGTTTACAAAGTTAGAAGATTGTGTAAGAGTTTTTGAGACATCCAATTCGGGGAATGACACATTTAAGTTAGTATTTTTAAAAAAATCAGATCGTCTTATAAATTTTCCGAACTGAAACATAAATATTAACTTTTTTACAACTTTAAATTTTCATTTGAAAATACATACAAGTTATGCAATTATCATTTTGCGACATTTAAGATTTTGATTCAGAGTGCATTTTTCAAAAATTATGAATATTTATCTTAATGGGACAACTTCATGTAAGCAACTTGAAATATTTATTTATTTACATATGTATATATACTAACATATGTAAGCAGTGTTTTCATACCTTCTTTAGTTCAACAACTAATGATACTTGGAGCAGAGAAAGAACGTGTTTCAATATTGATCAAAAACGTCACCGATCACAAAAACAGACTTCAGGATGTTGTCGCCGTAGTACAATCAAACAGCAGAACTATTTCCGACATCCAGAGCAATATTACAGCTTTATTGGAAATAGATGGAGCCCTGAATAAGTCATTCTCGCAGCAAATTTCAGATGGAGCCCAACAAAAACGTAAGACGAAACGAGCACTTTTCTATTTAAACTTTCATGAATTTTTCTTAACTGCTATTCATATGTTGATTAATGTACCTTTCATCAGAAATGTAAAGGTCATGTTTGCATTCCCTTCTGATTGTTTGCTGACATTATGCATATATTCAAAAAAATTGTTTCCGTCATTAAAGGAAATACGCTGATCCTTGGAGTGAAACTTCAGAAGTTACAAGACGATTTATCTGCTCTTACGGTTGTGTCGAATAATCTTCTGAGTCAATTTAACTCAACCGGAGAACGAATAGAGGATCTGCTTAGAATATCTGAAGATAAAAACAATTCTGATATAATTCTGAAAAGAAATCTAACAGAAAAAATTGAAGCAATACAACAAAATGTATCTTCTTTAGCTATTTCCGTTCAGTTGGAATCAAATCAAAGAAGAGATCTTCTCAATATTCAAGAACAACGATATTTTAACATCACGAATGTGATCGAGAGTATTCAATACCAGATGAATTCTACAGGTAAAGATTTAATAATTTTCCTAATTTAGTTATGTTAGATGGTATATTGTTGGGTTTTTATAAATCCACCTGGCAGAATAAAACTAATTTGAAAGCTCTCTGTTATAGTGCAGGAATAAGATTGTAAAAATCATTACCGGGGAAAGGAGGGGGGGTTATTAGGAGGTAAAAGATTTATAAGGGAAAAGTGTTTTTAGAAAATATCTTTAAGTACTTCTAAGGAACAGTAGGATCATGATTGTTGATATCAATATGCAAGCAATTTCAGGTATATTGTAAAATCAGGAATGTTCAAATCAAAACCGTAAAGAAAGGTTGAGACCACAATAGGAAATCAAAGCTTTACATTGTAGTATAAGCATAAAAACCTTAAAAATATTTTTCCAAGAACTGCACAGACATCATTAGTCATATAGATATATGAGTATCCCCAGGAAGTGTAGATTTAAGATTGTTCAACGTATGACCCCTTTGTATAAGGTCGGGCAACAATAAGGAATCCAAATTTTACATTTAAATATATAAGGAGAAAATCTTCTTCCCCCCAAAAAAAACAGCAGGACCATAGTGACATTAATATGAAAGCTTCGTGATGAAGTGAATATTCTACAATATGACTGTTAATATCATGACCCAACCCCCCAAACCCCCCACCCCCTATCCCTTCTCATTTGAGAGTGGTTAGTTGTGGTCGCAATAAGGAATCAAAGTTTACATCCGAAAACATAGGAAGTGTTTTCCTCGTAAGAACGGCAGGGTCATAGACACTTATACCAAGGTGCAAGCATCCTTAGATAATGCAGAAATATGCTTGTTTAAATCTTGGTCCCCTGGGGTAGGGTGGGACCAAAACAGGGTCCAAAGTTTTTAAATGGAAATACATTGAAAATTAAAAAGTAGCATGGCTACAAAAAATCAGATTGTTTAACATACATTTCCAAGCTAAAGGATTCATTTTTCATTTGTCAATCTATGGTCCCTGTTTGGTAAGGCTGAATGTAAGCAACAGAGATAAAATGAAAGAAACTCTTCAGATGAACATCAGTATATAGAAATACTGAAACAGTTATGTTGTACGGATTAAAGTTCGAATGAATTGGGGCTAGAGTGGGCCACAATATATGATATACATATTTCATGGAAATAGGCCTAAGGTGGGGAACTTTTTTTAACCTTAATCTGAAGAACAGCCAAGGTGACTCAGGTCACTGGGCCTCTTGTATATTTGTGAACTTGCATAATTATCTTTGGCAATTTTTTTTCAATATGCAAATCAAAATTATAAACAATGTATATTTTTCTTAACACCTTTGTATTAGAAATTAAGGGATTTTTAAATCTTTATTTTAATTCTTTCTTTAGTTCAGCAACAAATGGCACTTGAAGAAGAGAAAGAACATGTTTCATTATTTATAAAGAACATCACCGATCACGAAAAGAGGATTAAGGACATTGTAACCGTAGTGCAGTCAAACGGTAACACTATTTCATATATCCGGAGCAATATTACAGCTTTAATGGAAATAACTGGAGCCCTGAATAGGTCATTATCGCAGCAAATTTCAGAGAGAAACCAACAACAATGTAAGATTCTCTTTTTTTATATCAATGATCTGATATTCTTTTTATTTTCATTTAAATTGTGAAAATAAGCTATAGATTATGTACTTCCCTTGTGATAATTACTGACTTTATGCTTCTCTCCAAAATAAATTGTTCCAAGCGAAGTTGCTTTTTTAGTCCCCTACCGGTGAAACTGGAGGGGACTATAGGTTTCCTCTGAGTCTGTCCGTCCGTCTGTCTAGCTGTCTGTCTGTCCGTCTGCCTGTCCCTCTGTCTGTCTGTCAGTCTGTCCCACTTGGTTTTCCGCACTTTTTTCTTAAACGCTTGCAGATATTGAGCTGATTTTTGGTATATGAGTGTATCTTGATGAGTTACAGATCAAGTTTGCATTTCGTTCCGCTTCATTGATTTTTGACGGAATTACGGCCTTTTCAATTTTTAAGGGTTTTCCACAATTTTCTTCTAAACGCTTGTAGATATTGAGCTGATTTTTGGTATGTGGCTTTACCTTGATTAGCTATAGATCAAGTTTGCATTTCGTCCCACTTCATTAATTTTGACGGAATTATGGCATTTTCAATTCTTAACGGGAACCAGATTACACTTGCCGGTAGGGGACTAGTATTGCTAATGCAATACTCTCAGAATGCTTGTTAGAGACAGTTATATGTATTGTGAATGCACCCAAAGCTTATCTGTTTTTTTATTACTAGTAGGTCTAGAAGACAATGAAAAACCTCAAAAGTCTAGCTAAAGCAAAATATGATACTGCTCAATTTTGACGCAAGCACTCTAAATTTTCGTATTTCAGTGCTTGTTCGATTGGTTGGAGGAAGCACCATCAGCGAGGGACGAGTGGAGGTTTACCACTCCAATGTTTGGGGCACAATCTGCGATGATAATTGGGGCAGCTCTGATGCAAGAGTTGTTTGTAGAATGCTGGGATACTCGGGGTAAGTCATCATAAACAAATATTGTAAATAATAATATTTACTTCACAACAGGGCCTTTAAAACATTATACATCAATTGAATGGGTTCGAGGGCAACTAGCGTTTTGACGACCCAAGAACCAAACTGTTTGCCTGAATCCGTTAGGCCGAAGGCACCAGTTTTGTTCAAGAGGTCGACCAAACGCATTATGTCCGAGAACACAGTCAATAAATGTTTTGTTATACCTTATATTTTTTGACATACATGTATCTTGTGCTGGCTTTCATGATGTAAATTTCCTTTACTGCACTAACACTCGGTCAATTTTGTCACTGTTAAATACCAATGAATGCAAATACGATTTAGCTGATCTCGCCCGAAGTGTGACGTAGGCGGTCCAGTATCTCACTCTGTAGTCAAACACCGATTTTTTTATGACTGCTCAGTAAAACATTGGAAATGTTAGACATTTTAGTACATATTTATATAGATACCAATTTTTAAAGGTATAACAAAACCACTTATTTCATAGATGCTTCAGATTTCTTTTCCAATCAGTTTTCTTTATTTTCAAAATATTAAGTATGTTAAGGCATTATCGGAAGTGAGCAGCGTTTTTTATAGAAATGATTTAGAAATACATGTATAACGTTGGCTTGTACAAGTCTAAATGTTCATTTTATATGCTTTTCCTATCCACTTAGATCTTACACTGCCTACTCAAACGCCCGTTACGGACAAGGAGTAGGACAGATCTGGATGGATGAGGTTGGATGCTCAGGATCAGAGTCTTCAATATTCTCCTGTAGAAACAATGGATGGGGTGTTCACGACTGTTCTCATGGCGAAGACGCATCTGTCAAGTGCACTTAGATGCCCAAGATCTAATATTAATAAGATCGTTATTTTTGCCTTCGAATTTGAGAGATGTTTTTATGTTTTCTCTCAAACTCGTTTTTATTGTTCATTCACAGTTTCTTTCTCCTCGGTTCTGTGAATATTCAGAGAACATTACACTAATTATTTGAAACAGATTACTGTATTGTCTTAGTGGTTCACGTGTACATATGCAGTTATTGATTAAATGTAGTGTATTTACGCAGGTATTTTGATCTGTTTTTAACAAGAAATTTTTTTGCACTGGACTTTTGTTACAGATCCTATCCAGGCTTTATACAATTTATCTTAGCAATTACTTGGCAATTAACTAGGCTCTGGTTCGAACTAGTTTGACGATAACGTTTTACGGAGATGCATTTTCCTGCTTTCATTGGACCCATGATTGTCCACAATAAAATATACCTTTTTTAATGTCAAAATTTACAAAGAAACAAATAAAAATTTACATTAAAGACGTATATGTTCACGTGCAATGTTATACAGTTGAAAATAAGTGCAAAACTTTCTACTTTCGGCAAATGTATTTTATCCTGTGAGTTAAAGGATTGTGTCGCAAGGTGAAAAAAAACCTAACACTCATCTCATTGGATGTATCTTACACCACAAAACACGAGTTGCAATGAAATCGTGTATCCCTCCAGTTGACTGTAATCTTAGTATGAACCGAATACTTTATTAAATATTTTGATTTTACCTTCATACTTTCCGTTGAAACTTTGATTTAGTATGATACTTTGATGACATTCAATTTCTAGTTGAGTTCGTTAATAATATTTCCAGAACAGTAAACAGATAAACAGAAAAATATTATACATGTATATGCAGGCATTTGAATTAGTGTTAAGAACACAAAAAAATCGTAATTGAGGATTGAAATATCAGTTTCAAATTCATTGCAAAGATACTGATTTACTATGGACATTTGAATTGTTTTAGACAATGGTTTTATCTTAATTTAATTTTTGTTAGGATAGACCTTGAAATAGATGTATGTAATGAAATGTAGTACCTGTTTCTTTTGCAAATGCTCAATAATGGTCAAATTAAACGACAAAAACTGAGGTTCCTCTTCATAAGCTACACAACTCGGTGACTGTCTGTCCGTCTGTCATAAGGTGTCTGCTAAAAAGTAACGAGAAATATCCACCGTTTCATAAAGAATCTGCCAGCAAGTCAAATGTCATACCTCCTCGCTTGGTGACCCTGGAAATTATCTGCAGCTAAGTGAAAATGACGAAAAATGAGCTTCCAACACCTTATAAATAACTTTAACCTGTGACTAAGGGATGAAAATACCCGAGCAGAGGCCTTTCAGATCCAGTGGGATTCTTTGGGTTTACAACAATAAATGTAAAAAAAAAAAAAAAATTATCCACACTGCTTGTGTATTTTAAAATACTATTTGTAATGCACATCACGGGCAAAGAGGACTTAAAGGGTAGATAGTTTCAGTTCTGTTTGTTGTATTCATAAAATTATTCAGTATACGATATATCTTCGTAACTTAAACCTTTTAAAACACTTTGCACACATAACATTTTTTAAAGAAATCAATGGGCCAAGCATTTTGGCGGTATATTGGTCTCAAAAAAAGTATCAAAATACGACATTTTTGTGTCGTCTGCAGAGCAGAGCGGACTAAGGGATCACTTTACCCGGAGTCTGTCCGTCTGTCACACCCTATATCTCAAGAACTGTAACAATACAAATCAGGTCCAGAGCAAATATGGACCTCTAAAACAGTAGAGGTGGGATCAGGTACCATGGAGGAGTGAGCATCCCCTGCAGATCAGGGATTGACATTAACGGTTGTCCGATTGCCCGGTACAAGTAAATTCTCAGTTTGGACAAGTGAAATTGTCGACATACTTGTCCGATCGGGCAAGTGAATTTTTCTCATACAAATGTACATATTTATTTAGTTTACATTAATTTATAAATAAAACGATAAATTGAACACTTGACTTCCGCCACGCACCTGACTGACAATGCTTCGTTTCTGGATTATACCATTCATTTAAAAATCGAGTTCGTTATTTTCTTTCGTAGTAAATACGCTCTACGTCTAACAAAATTTTATTAACTTCTTAGTAGGAAATTAGATTATTTATTTACGCACAGAATATAAGTACAGTACAACACGATGTATCCTGAGCAAGGTAAGATGTATGTTTTGTAGCAACTATCTTCCTTAAGCGTTGCTTCACAGTTATCTCTGAAAATCATGAATCACAAAATGATCCTACGACACATAATTTTTAAAAAATATGAATTTTATTAAAAGGAAATGGAGAGTTATTGCTGCACTGCAGTGTGTGTTAACAAGTTAATTTTACAAGTACAGCTTATACATTTATGTACAAATGCAGCATCGAAATTTTTTCAGGTAGCTCAACTTGCCAAATTGACAGTAGTACTACTAGTGTATTTCGTCACATTTTTTCTTTTCATAACGTTTACAGTAATTAATAATTTTTTTCTTAAGTTCTATCCTAATTTTGGGCAACCAAGTTCTGCATTCGGACAAGTCAAAGTATAAGATCACTTACCCGATGGGCAAGTGAATCTGAAAGTTAATGTCTATCCCTGCAGACCGGTCACACCACCCATGTGCTCCTTGTCATGGTCGGGAAATAAAGGGAAAATCCATCTTAAGTTTGTAAATAATGGCCCAACAATCAGTATGAAAAATGTCAGCCAGCATTTGACTTAATAATAGATTTTGTCTTTGCTGACAAGGTCATTGTATCGACCATAGAACTTACGAAATGATGACTTTAAACGAGACTGTTGATATTCTTGTTTCATCAACTTGTTAGTCAATAACTTACCTCGTTTTAGAAATTGTTCATACGTAGAGCTGTGACAGAGCATGCTTTTGCGTAACGAATCAACTGCGAGATATAAACCCTTTATGCAGGTGATAAGGGTATATTGGTACGCATGGGAATTCCAACAGATTGTTTTGAGACCTGGTCTCCAAAAACCACATAGATATTGTCAGTCAGAAACTCAAGAATATTTTTTATAACAACTTCAGAGTACTTGTGTGTACAATCAGAATGTTTTTTAACAAAATAATTTTGCAAATGACCAATGACGAGGTAATTAAATTTATGAGTTCCATTTCTATTGAAAAAGTAGCTGTCAATGATGTCAAAAAGCCTGGACTTTAATTTATCGTGGGCGATGGTTTTACATAGTGTTGAAAAGTAAGTTTTTATGTTATTGATTTTGGTAAAATTTTGTGATTTTAAATTTTCTAAAAGTTCCTTGGAATTTTTAAGTATCCACATCTGATTTACACCACTTCTCGAATATATTGTTGCACATTACCCCTAAAGTTTCTCCTTCATTGCTGTTAATATTTAAGTGTGGAGTAAAGAAAAAGGCTTGGTAGAACTTTTACTGAAACCCGCTAATCGTTAAATATCGTTAAATAAAATGACATTAAGGAAATGAAATAAAACGGGAAAATTTTAACTAAAAGTTAGAATTAAAATAAGAAATAAAAATACAATTTTTGAAATAAATATAGAAAAACAAGAAATTAGAAGAAAAAAAAAATTTCAAAAATGGTGGCTCTGTTATCTCTCTATAATTTCTCATTATCAAAATTCGACAAACGTGTAGACTTTACTTTTGTAGCCTTGTATATGGAAAACATGATTGGTAACTTGCAACACATTCAAGTTAAATATATACAAGCATGATATCAAGGGGGTCAAAATAAGAGTAAATTTTGAAGTACCCATGCCGCAGAAGCAAAGTTTACATCAAAAATACAAAAAAATCAAAAGTTAACCCAGTTATATGTTCGAAACTTATGGTGGCATATTTCTGCCCCCTACATACAAGATAAATTATGTTACATGTAACATGCAAGAAAAGTATGTCAACATGCAAGATAAATATGTCAACATGCAAGATAAATATGTCCACATGCAAAATAATTATGTTGACATGCAAGTGACCAATCTTTTTTGAGAATCTAATTTTAATGTTGGTAAACTTACTTACTAACGCCAGTATACGACATCATACAAGCAAGCTGCAACAGAATTATGTTGACATACGACCTATGTATGTTAACATGCAAGATAATTATGTTAATATGTAATATATTTATGTCAACATGCGACTGATTTATGTTAACATGCAACATAATTATGTAGGCATGCGACTTATTTATGTCAACATGCTAGATAATTATGTTAATATGCAACTTATTTATGTTAACATGCGACTTACTTATGTCAACATGCAACTTATTTATGTCAATTTGCGAGTTATATTTTAACATGCAAGGTATTTATGTCAACATGCAATATAATAAGTTGCATGTTAACATACATATCTCGCATGTTGACATAATTAACTCGCATGTTAACATAATTATCTTGCATGTTGACATAAATAAGTTGCATGTTAACATAATTATCTTGCATGTTGACATAAATAAGTTGCATGTTAACATAATTATCTTGCATGTTGACATAAATAAGTCGCAAGTCAGCATGTTCCTGTTGTATTTTGCTTGTATAATGTCGTATAATGGCGTTGGAAAGTAAGTTTACCAATATTTAAAATTAGATTCTCTAAAGAAATTGGTAACTTGCATGTCAAAGTAATTATTTTGCATGTTGAAATAAATAAGTCGCATGTCTACATAATTAAGTTGCATGTCAACATAATTTATCTTGCATGTAGGGAGCAGAAATATGCCACCATAGAAACTACTTACATATCTTAAATATAAAACTAAAAAGCTCTTTCTCTATCCCCTCTTTTTCCCCCACACCTCCGACTCTCTCTCTCTCCCCACTTACTTTCAAACACTCTCTCCCTACTCATTGTCTCTCTCTCTACTCACACTATCTATATTTACACACTCTCTCCCCACTCACACTCTCTCTCTCCCCACACACACACTCTCTCCCCACTCACACTCTCTCTCTCCCCACACACACACTCTCTCTCCACTCAAACACACTCTTTCTCCCCTCAAACACACTCTTTCTCCCCACTCACACTCTCTCCCCTTTCTCTCTCCACTCACACTTTCCACTCACACTATCTCTTGCCACTCAAACACACTCTTTCTCCCCACTCACACTCTCCCTCTCTCCACCCACACTCTCTCCCTCCCCCCACTCATACTCTCTCTCTCCCCACTCACAGTGTCTCTCCCTCTCACA